ATTTTCAGTTGCTCCGTTTCTGATTAACTAAATCTTGAGGAAGATCTCTCTTTTTCAATTTTTTGAAGGCTGTGAGATTTTTCAGAATCTTTGATTATTTTCTGTTGTATTAACTATGAAGCATGTTTCCAAATTAGATTTCACTCAAAATGCTGATTCTAAAGAATAACTAACGTAACAAAGAAGCTGTCATGGTTCTTTCTCTCGAACAATATGATTTTTTTTCAAAAATCAAGAGATACGTCAGAGGCTGTGTCTAATAATTCGATTGTTCTGTGATGAGTTGATCATTCATCAACTTTTTTTAGTTTCCAGTTAATAGTTGGCAGCTTTTCAATAAAATACGCTTCTCTACTTTTTTTTTTTCAAGTTTTTCCTTGAGTATACGCTGTTTTACTCTTTTTGAAGCATCAATTTATAAAAGCTTTTGATTGTTTCATGTTTTTTTTCAAATCACATTTCTTCCATTTTTTTCTTCAAAAAGAGATAGCTTGCTCAATATTTGCTTCGTTTGAAATAGTAGATAACAGAAGTAATGTAGTTAGGCATAGTATGAAAAGCTGAAAAGTATTGAAAAAATAATTGAATTCTCATCAACTGCTTTGTCCAGATTTTACAACAGCTTCGAACTTTTAAAATTAACCAGTCATTGAAGTTTAATAGAGAGGCTTGAAGTAGAAAATGCAATTGTTTCGCTCATTCTAAAATCATGCTTATCTACAACGATTTCTTTTTTCAGCTGTCTATTTTGCGAAGAGTTCAGATATCAAAAATCGGACAAACACCTAATGACACTTTCTTGTTAATGATAATAAGGAACTCAGTTCAGTGACTCGGCTCTATAATCATAAACGTTTCAACATCTTCCACACGAATCGGATTCAGTTTGGCAAAGTTTTCTGTTATGTTTTTCCCTCTTTTTTTTTTCTCATGAACTAGAGCTGAATGTGTTTTTTTACATGTTATTGTGAGTCCTAATAATGTTTTTGGATGAGCTGAGAAGAATAATAGGTGCTTTCTCTCTTGAGATTAGCGTTATCATTACCTTCAAAAGGCGACCAGACCACGATGATGTACATACTCATCACCATTTAGATGAGCTTTTGTGTCATTTGAAACATTCTGTTTCAGATGCAAAGAAAGTGAGTTAAGATAACAATATAACTCATAACAAATTAATTATTTATTATAAAAATCCATAAGTAAAGAAAACAAACCTGTTCTGTTTTCATTTTGTATTCCTATGAACGAGCATTGACCGGCTTCGGAAAGAGATGCACCCCATTGCTTTTTCCTTCTACTAGAGAATGAGAAACAAAAAGAAAACATTTTTGAACATTTTTTTTCAATTTAGTACTGAACATATATTTTTTATTTTATATTGTTTTAGTTTCAATCATATTTTATTGACAAACATTGATACGATTTCGATTGGCAGTCATCTACTTCTCATCTGGTTAGAGCTGAAATACTATTTTATGTGGTATGGATGTGATTTAGTATAACGTTAGAATGTAATTGGCATTGGAACAAAGTGAGTTTTTGCCATTTAAATAGTTAGTTGACCAAATCGCGTGAAATGTTCTAGCTGATTCTCCATGTCTATCTATAAAAACTAACAATTAAAGACCGTTGAGAAGCAGAAATGTGAAGCCCGAATGTAGATGAGGAGAAACAAAGTGAAAGTTCAACAAGGATTGAGAGAGATTAGACATGAAAATGAAGAAAAGTTTCTTGAAGGAAAAAAAGAGGATAATGAGAGCATCGGAAGAGCAACAAAGCCAACCCGGAAAGACTGCTGAGTCAATCCTCACGATGAACTCTGAATTAGTTAAATTAGTTTTGTTAGTTGGCAAACACATACAAGGCCGTTTACTAAAAAAAGAAAAGAAGAAAAAAAGAAGAAGAAAATATATACTCTTTACTTATAACTCTCTTTCTCTCACAGTATTCTAAACACTCCAGTTCCTAAATTGTGTTTGTCTCACCCAACTTCAGATAACAGATTTATGATCATTTTCTCTTTCACTCTCTTAGTCTCTATTTCTAAAAGAGAAAAAAAGTTTTTTTTTTTTTTATATCTTTATGTCTCAAATTTCATCAAACATCTTTTCCGTATTTGTTCTGCTCTCATTGAAGAAAAAGGTATTTCATAAATGGAAAACACATATTCTTGTGTTAAAAGTTTGATTATCAAATGTTTTTTAATGTTCAGACCATTAGTGTTTCTAATATGATGTATAAGATCAAGATCAAAGTTGTTTTCAATTTTTCCGCTCTCACATATACTTTGAGAATGATTCTTAGATAATCTATTTCTATATAACAACATTCTCCTTCCTTATTCAGAACTGTAATAAGCTCTCTTTACTTGTTTCATCAATTCTATAACCATCTATGACATCTCAATTCGATATTCTAACACCAATTTCAATTTTTATTTTCTACATTCAAAAAATTCTGAATAGTTTGTTTTGTTAGGCCATATAGTGCTTACAAATTGAACCTGAGTTCAGAAAAAAAAATGTTTTCTCTATGTCTTCACTACGGCAGCCAGACGACAATGAGAAGTCATGTATGGATGGATTAGAAACAAACTATTTCCAACTTACTTTAACGAGAAGAGAAGAAAAAAAGAAGAGAGAGAGAAAAAGAAGTTAATAGCGATTATTTTTCTTTTTTTTTTACTAAGCTTCTTCTTTTCTTGAAGGCAAGTGTATGTTTACAAGATTAGCAGAATCGCCAGATAGTTAAATGAAAAACAACTGCAAAAAATATTATTGAGAGCATATTGTATATTTAGAAAACGCGTTAGCTATTAGAGTTCAATGAAAGAGTGTTTTTTTGGGAGTTTGATGGGAAATAATAGAGAGACAGAGAGAGAGAGAGACAGAGAGAGAGAAAGGGAGAGAGGAAGAGAGAAAGAGAGAAAGAAAAAGAGAGAGAAAAGAGGAAGAGAAATCAAATCGCTCATTTACCATATAAGTAAAGGGGGCTTATATCTATCTATCCATATAAATATATTTTATTTCTCCATTCATTCAGATCCACCAACTCTAACTTTCCTCTTCTCATCCATTTTATTTTTTTTCACATTTGAATTATTTAAGATGGATATTTGAATGTTTCATGGAAATGTTTAAATGAAATGTACAAGAATGCATCTGCCGAACAGTCTTTTGCGTTGTTTATTCTTGCAAAGAGAAAAACTTTCGATATATCTCTCTCTCTTTCTCTCTCTCAATTTCTCCCTCTCTCGCTTGTTCTCTATATTTCTTTATTCTATTCAATCAGTGTTTATTAAAACTATTTGAAATTGTTTCTTCTCTGATCATCAAGCTTAGAGCCGGAAGATTTTTTCTTCCAAAATGATTTATTATGATGTTCTCAGTTCTTTTTACATTAACATCATCATAAACTGTGTTGATCAATATATAAAAATATATTTCATTTTTCATTTCCGAATATTGATAGACGCATTTCCGAGTCATTCAATGGAAGGTTTATGCTTTCGTATTCTTGATATCACTAACACTAGTTTATTGAACAGAAATAATAATCATTTTTATCTCTTGTTATAGTATCCATCAGCGAGCTTCAGAGGGAAGAAGAGATGGAGAGAGGGGGGGGGAGGGAGGTAGAGAGGGAGGGAGGAAAGGAAGAAGGGAGGGAGGACGGCTGTGGGTAGCATTCTACGTTTGTCACACAATGCATCATCAATTTTAAAAATTCAGTAGTCTGTCAAGCAGGGAGGAATAGATTTGTGAATGAATAAATAGCTAACTCTAGATAACTATAGAATACACGGAAGAATTAACTCGAAATACTACCGCCAATCTGAGTATGCTTACAAGCTCAGATCAACACTCTATTCAAAGCCCTTTATGCTTCACATACTGCTATGTATCGTTTTTACAAATGAATTGAACTGATTTCATATATATATATATATATATTTTCTTCTAAATTTTATTTTTTTATTTTTATTATTCGCCTTCTTCTCTTTCTCTCTCTATAGATCTTTCTCTCTGTAGCTTTCTCTCCTATCTCCTTTTTCTTGTGATAATCTGTTTTCTTTTATGTTTTTTCACCTTTGATTTCTTATTTTTCATTCCAACTTATTTCCCACGATCTAATGGGAAATATGTAAATTGAAAAGCAGAAGAATTCATTCATAAATTTTTAGTATCACAACTACATTCTCTTCACTCTTACTCTCTTTTCAAAGATTTCCTCTTTATCTCTCTCACATCATCACGACTCTCTTACCCTTTTACTCTTTCTCTTAACTTTTCTCCTTTTTTTTTGTTTTCTTTCCGAGTAAGGGGAACTCAGTTCTGACAGATTCCCATCATTAATGGAGCAAGTTCACTCTCTCAACACTTTAAATGTTTGGAAAATAACACTTACTAGGTTTCTTCTTTGCACTTAGCTTATCATCAAATCTAAACAACATGACTCTTCAACTTGTTACATCTTCTATCGCATTAGCTCTTTTCAATTGTCATCCTCTATTTGCACAAGCTGTTTCCAGTGTATAGTTTAGTTATTCAGATTAATTCGGTCAATTCCAATAATGGCTTCTACTTCCGTACCAGAAATTGATAGCAACAACGATTATGTAAAGTCAAACATATTGCCGACAATTGAGCTCGTTCTTGGTCTTATAACCTATTTTGTAAGTTTTTGTTTTCTTTTAAATTCAAGCAATTAGCATAAAAATGTAATTGAATGATGTTCCAAAAGTACAGAGATACTGAAGTTTGATGAAGAAACAAGCTGTCATCAATTGTATTTTCAGGTCATTATTGCAATGACAGTTGTTGGCAATACGTTAGTAGTTGTTGCCGTCTTCAGTTACCGACCTTTGAAGAAAGTACAAAACTATTTTCTTGTTTCATTAGCTGCATCTGATTTGGCTGTAGCCATATTTGTGATGCCATTACATGTTGTTCAATTTCTTGCAGGTAATTAATAATATATTATATTATATATAATTATATTTTAATTATTCTAGACGGCCGATGGCTACTTGGCATCTATGTTTGTCAATTTTTTACCACCGCAGATATCCTTCTATGCACATCATCCATTCTTAATCTATGTGCAATTGCTATAGATAGGTAAATAATATTTTATTCTTAAAAAACATTGTAATTTGTTCATTGAAGATATTGTGCTATTCACGATCCCATCAATTATGCTCATAGAAGATCTCTGAAATTTGTTTGCGTCATAATTGCTATTGTAATTATATAATTATAATAATTATAATAATATTATATTATATATTAAGGTATGGGCATTATCTGTTCTTATATCTGTTCCGCCACTTATTGGATGGAATGATTGGAGTTCACAATCATTACGTGATCATTGTCAACTATCAACCGAAAAAGCATTTGTTATATATTCGGCAATGGGATCATTCTTTTTGCCATTACTTGTCATGGTTATAGTTTATATTAAAATCTTTTTGAATGCTCGACAACGAATACGAACAAATAGAGGTACATACACGGCTTTTCATAATAAAAATTTTTTGCAACTTTTTGCAGGACGAAGTGCACTTCTGCGAATTCAAAACTGTGATGAAGTAGGGATTTTGAATGCCAATGATGCTAGAAGACAGAGCAATAGAAGAAGTTCATCTAAGCGATCTTCTCTACAAGTATCCACAAGAAGATCGGTAAGAAAATATTATTTTTTTATTTTTATTCCTCCATAAACATTCAGCTGGATAGAAGTTCGGCAGAGATACCAATGGAGATGCGTAAATCGATTCGTAACATTCGAAACAAGAGCGATATCATTGTAGAAGCTGATCCACCATCTAAGGAAGTAAGCAATGTGTTTGCAAAACGTTTTTTTTAAATTTTCCGTCTCTTCCTCAGAATCCAGCAGCTGTTCTTCGTAAAAGAGAAAAAATCAGTGTTGCTAAGGAAAGAAGGGCAGCAAAGACCATAGCTGTCATCATCTTTGTGTTTTCATTCTGTTGGCTACCATTCTTCACCGTTTATGTTATTCTGCCTTTTTGCGAATCGTGTTTTATTCATCCAAAAGTAAGAAACAGAGAAAAAAAGATTTTTTTTTTACTAAAAATTATGAGTTTAAGGTTCAAGAAGCATTTACTTGGCTTGGATATATCAACTCATCTCTGAACCCTTTCTTATATGGAATATTGAATTTGGAATTTCGTCGTGCATTTAAGAAGATTTTATGCCCAAAATCCAGTCTAGAAGAACAACGTCGTCGTTTAAGTGCAGTCCCATGATTAGGAAAACTCATTGCATGAAGTTCACCAAAAAACTTTTTTTTTTTTATATTCTCCTTCTTCTTAAGCATGTATCCCATGAACTTTGATTTTTAATCTATTCATATTATAATTAATTAAGTACAAGTTATTTCAGAAGCGGTTTTTAAGATTATATATTAACTATACAATATCTGTATAACTATGCTCTCGCTCTCTCTCTCATACTCTCTCTCATATTCTCTCTCTCTCTATCTATATATATATATATGACCATACTAGGAGATAGTCATATATATATAAGTGAGATTAACATAATTATATAATTTGTAAAACAATTATTAGTTCATAATTTAGTGAGTAATTATAATATTGTTATGATTTCATAATATATAATGTATTGATAATATATAATATTGAAAAATATTATTTTTCATTTTTAATTATTAGCCTTTCATTGATAATAGAATGGAGACGTCATCAGGAAAGTTATGGTCCATACAATATTGAATTTGATATTATTAATCTGTAATAGGCTGAAATGTCAATAGAACTTACTCGCCTTATCAGTTATCATTTGCTTCGATTCACTCTCATTTCATTTCTACATTTGTTGTATTCTTTCAAATTTGTTAATGATAATACAAGACAAAAAGCAGAACAAAAAAAAAAAAGATTTTTGTTTAAGCTGAAACAATCTGATGAAAGAACTGAACATCAGCATCACTTACACACCATTTGCAACATGTAATTGTATATTGAAAGACTATTATATTCAATTTATTTAATTATATTCAATGAAGATGAAGCAAATCCATTCAATTCTTTATTTCTGCTCATTTCATTTGAAACTATGCAAAGCTGATAACCATATTTTGGTTTTTTTTTTCTTTTTTTTTTGATTTGTTCTCAAAAAAAAAAATGATCTTATCTCTTGGCATAGCTAATGATCGTTGGTGATGACTGTATGGTAGACCACGCCTTGCTCAAGTTCCCACCCCTTTCCGATTGTCGACAGAAATCTTCGAGTATCATTTGCTGATTCGAGGATACTTACTCACATTGTTAATATCATATTCAAAGTTAAATTTGAATAAACTGTTACTCTCACTGTTTCGACAGTTGTCAGCACTTGATGTGATGTGATGACACTGATCGACACAGTGAGAGCATCTAGTTGTCATTATATTCAAAGCTTCTGTTCCTGTCTGGCTCGTCAGTCGTCAACCCATACTTAACGTGATGACACTGTTACGGGCTTGACAAGAAGATAGAAGTCATAATCATAGCTTCATCAATACATGAAACCTTAATCACCAAACCTAACCTTCGAGATAAGATAATGATAATACATATGCATATGTAAACAATAGATTCTTTATTCTAATTCATGAAATGTTATAATAAAGGAAGGAAAGGGTTTAATGTAGATATACAAGATGATTATTATATAAATTGTACGTTTATATATGAGAAAACTAGTTGTACTATCTCATTTTTATTGCAACGTTTCAACAAAATTTTTCTATGAAAACGATCAACACTAAGCTATTTGATACAATACTTATGGTTCCTTTCTCATCGTATATGTACAGAAAAAATAAAGATGAAGATGTTCTTGCTTTGGCTAATGTAAAACCAGTTTGCGATTTCGGCGTTGATTGAAATCGTCCATGAAATCACGCAATTCCTGTTTAATTCTCGGTTGGAGTTTCATTTTTTTTGTTGCTGAAGAATAACTTTGGTTAGAACAAATAAATATTTTTGAATAATAATATTCTTTTTTGATTTTCCATCATCAGAAAGTGTTTATGAAACTAGTTGTTGTATGTGGTATCTCAAAAGGCTTTTGAAAATTATTTTTGTTTTGAGATCAAAAGATCAAAACTAACGACTGATGCTCAGTTGGTGAAGAGCTCTTCGTGCTGCTGAGCTTAATTGGCTGATTTCTTGTTCTCTAGCTTTCAATACTTTTCTTCTCATTGTAGCCCATGTATTATATTCTTCAAGTTGTTTTGAATTAAGCAGTGATACAGCCAAGTGTTGAATCTGTAACAGCTCCTATGTTATGGCTAATCAGAAAATTAAAAAAAAAAGAAGAAGCTGTTAGCAATAAAAGTATTTTGTAATTGATACAATTAGCTTTTTGAGATGATAAAATGATAGTTTCAAATAGATAACAGAATGGAAATGACGAAAATGTTTGAAAAAAGACAATTTGGAATGAGAATCTTAATTAATGAGATGGCAATCTTACGAAAACACTCATGTCGTTGACATATGAGTGTCTTACTATCATTAGTAAACACAATGGAACATACCTTGAGCGTTCTCAGACCTTCGCTTGGAATATCATCATTCTTCCAGACACTTTCAAATTCTTTTTTCACTTCTGGAGAAGCAGTGCGCAAGAAAGGAGCTTTCACATTATTAAATTGCATACTTGCAACATCATCAAGTGTGACCTTAAAAAACATTAATCTGGGTAATCAGAAGCGATTTCAGATCCGAGAGAGGTTAACGACAACATACCAAGTCTAAATCCTTATAATCAGTATTACTGAAACCGACAACTCTTTCGTCTTCTGTGTTCTTCTCGCTGTTATTTTCTGATTTACCTGAAACTCGTGGTCTATTACCAATCCCAAATAGTCTTCAACCTGTGTTTTTAAGCTCTTCTGCTAGAATATCATTACTTGCTGATAGGATGTCAGCTTGGATCAACAGCTCTTTATCACAGTTTCCATTACGTTTCCATGATTTCCTAAAGAAATTTCTTTAATTAGAGCTCTGAATTGTGATCACCATAGATCAACGAGTTCTTCTTGAACAAAATCAGGCAAAGATGTTAAGTTATTGGGTGGTCCACAAGGAGCCTTGAAGCGATATGTACAGTAAGTAACACCTTCCTATAAACTCACTTTCGCTGCAGATAGGATGGTGATAGTAGCAAAGAAAGCAATAATGGTATAGAACTTGATTCTCATTATGTTTAGATGATAGCAATTCTGAATATCTCGTTCGAGATTATAATGATGTAAGAAATGAAAAAACCCAACAATAGAGATACAATTGATGTTCACGCACCGAGACGTGAGGTGAGAAGTGAATGCTTGAAAGCTTGGAGGGAAGGGCTATATGTTTTGATTGGTGGCTTATTCTCAAGGACGAAAACAGGTACAAGATGAAGAGGGGGTTTCTATTGAGGCAGTAGAATTACGCAAAAGAAATAGCATCGTGCATAATAAGTGACTGGATGCATACTAGCTGACGCGCCTGTACATGAGTGAATACGGGAAGTGATGATGGCTAAGAATGCGAGGAGAACAAACGAAGGTGAAATCCAGTCATTGGCACTTTCTAACAGCTTGAAAGTTTTTTAGAGGAAGATGAGAAAAAGAACACTAAGCAAGAATATCTACAAGTATGAGAGGAAGGACAAAAGTGGTTTGAAGGACGGAACAAAATCGCTTCCGATTATTAGCTGGAAAAAATTGAGTGAGCGAACAAAACTAAATGTTGAGAGAAATAACATGCTACATCTCATTAAATAAGTTACTGCTGCCATCTAAAACAAGTTTCAGAACACGTCTTGACCTTGAATCATTTGTTAGTGTAAGCTCACAAACATGATTCTGAAACTGTAATCCGAACGATGACGTATTTATCACGAACACTATTAAGAGAGTGTTGATTTGCGAACAACTCCTTCATTGAGATTTGAATAGAATGATGAAGGACGAGAGGGACTGAAACATCGTTCGCTAAAGAAGTATAAGATACTAAGCTTCTTCAATATAATGAACGTCGTCATAGTTATAATAAGGTACTTGGAAGATGTTGAAGGATAGTTCTTCAAGTATACTTACAATATATAATAGTTTAGTCAACGTTCCTAAATGTATAGGTGATGGTTAGTATAATCCAATCCATATACAGCATGAACAGCCTCCATTGAAAGATGAAACACATTTGGTTCGTTCCATTAACAAGCAAAAACTTCTGAGGATACTGTTTAAGAGATGAAAACATAAAATTTCAAATGGAATCCAGTAGAATCTATCCTGTCAGACTACAATTATTGATTATACGGTAAAATACAAAATTATAAAAAATAAAATCAATCAAAGTTCAAATTGTCATTAACTACTTGAAGCTTTTACTAGAAGCTCATAATAAGTGATTAATATGAAAAACCATATGTAGTTTGTTTTTTTCTAAAAATTTGTAGTTTAGATTTGAACTGAAGATGACCTTGTTGACCCGTAAGTTGTTTTCAATCCCAGGCTGGATCAAAAAACCAACTTGCAAACTACAAACTCTGAGATCAATCGGTTCCGTTTATTGACAAACCTATGACAAACTTAATGTCTCGAGTAGGCTAACTGGTCACCTTTTTATTATTAATGTCATCTTCATAGTAACTGCTCATCGATTTCAATTTTCACTTGCATGCTACTACTCTTCTTTCCAAGGAAAAGTATAATTGATTAACAAACAGCCAGGTATATATCAATTCATTTTGTTTTTTCTGTTGATTTTACTTGAAATCTTCTATTATAACATTATTATAGTTGTATTGTTGGTATTTTTTCATTTAATGACCATAGCTGGCTTCCAGACCCTTAGTTGCTATGACTTTTCCAAGCTCTTTTGCTTTAAAGTAACTTGCCTTACGTGTAATCCATTTTCCAACATTCGTACTGGTTGAGAAGCACAAAAAGCTTTTTCTGATCGATTCAATTCATTTCTATATTTGTATTTATATTCAAATTTCATTTTAACATACTATTCAACTCTTTTATTTTCATGTTTCTCTAAAGGTGCGAACTCTTCTTATCTTCTTCCCAGTAGCAAAGATGAAAACCAATTTTATGATTATTATTCTGAAATCATTTAAATAACTTTTATTCCAAGAAAAGCATATGCAGATTGATATGAGTTCGTACCCTGTTTGTTGAGTTCACTCTCTCAGTCTACTCGAATAGCATGCCTTTTACGCACATCCCTACTTCCGTACT